GCAACTCCTGCGACGTCGCTGGAACCTGCTGTATTGGCTCTTGTCCGGCGGGCCAGATAGGCGGGGTATAAATGAATGAATGAATGAATGAATGAATGAATGAATGAATGAATGAATAAATAAATAAATAAATAAATAAATAAATAAATAAATAAATAAATAAGGAAATTAAGGGCACTATAGTTTTTGATGGCTCAACATCAGATCCCAAAGCGGAGTGAAACAGGGCTGTGTCCTCATGCTGACCCTGTTTGGAATCTTTTTTGCTGTCCTGCTGAAGCATGCCTTTGGAACTGCAAAAGAAGATGTCTACTCTGGACTAGATCAGATGGAAAGCACTTTATTCTCTCTAGATTGAGAGTGAAGACCAAAGTCCAGCTGAAATGCATGCAGGACTTCTTCACCGATGATGCAGCTGTTGTTGCCCATTCTGCTGAAAACCTCCAACAACTCATTAATTGGTTTAGCAAGGCCTACCAAGACTTTGGATTGACAATCAGCCTGAAGAAAACACAAGTCATGGGCCAGGGCGTGGACTCACCTCCCTCTATTACCATCTCTACACAAGCTTTGGAGGTGGTTCATGATTTTGGCTACCTTGGCTCAATGATCTCTGACACTCTTTCCCTAGATGTTGAGCTGTATAAACACCTTGGCAAAGCAGCTACCATGTTCTCTAGACTCACAAAGAGAGTATGGCTTAATAGGAAGCTGACGGCATATACCAAGATCCAGGTCTATAGAGCCTGTGTCCTGAGCACACTCCTGTACTGCAGTGAGTCCTAGACCCTTTGTGCACCACAGGAGAGGAAGCTGAGCACATTCCATATGCGTTGTCTCCGACGCATTTTTGGTATCACCTGGCAGGACAAAGTTCCAAACAGAGTAGTCCTAGAATGAGCTGGAATTTTTAGCATGTATACATTACTGAAACAGTGAAATCTACGTTGGCTTGGACATGTCTTGAAAATGGCTGACGGTGAGATTCCAAAAGATCTCCTGTATGGAGAATTAGTGCAGGGAAAGCACCCCAGAGGGAGACCACAGCTGTGATACAAGGATATCTGGAAGCAAGATCTGAAGGAATGGACCTCAACAGATGGGAAACCCTGACATCTGAGCGTTCAGCCTGGAGGCAGGCGGTGCACCATGGCCTCTCCCAATTTGAAGAGACCCTTGTCCAGCAGGCCGAGGCAAAGAGGCAGTCATGAAAGCAACAAAATCAGGGAGCTGGACAGGGAACAGATTGTATTTGTCTTCAGTGTGGAAGGGGTTGTCACTCTCAAATTGGCCTTCTCAGCCACACTGGACACTGTTCCCTCTATTCAGAGCATGTTACCATAGTCTCTCGAGGCTGAAGGATGCCTAATTTAATCTAATCTTAGCCATATATAGTCTGGATAAACCTTCAAATATAGAGCAAGGCTTCAAATGGAGGGTTGTCCCATGGCAGGACCTTGAAGCAAATGATTTATTGCCTTTTGTAAAGTAGGCTACATGGAGGATATATGGAAGTAAAGTGCTTACCTACTGCTTAAATTATTGCAAAAGAACTGTATCCACAAAACAGCTAGATAATGTTACAAAACATAGCTTGCTTTTTTGTTGTTTTGTAACCAGTCAACTGGGAAGTGGTATTGCTCTGTTTGCATGTCGATGCCTCAGGCATGTAACATGAAAGGATTTTTGTTGCTTGGAACGATAACATAGTAAGAGGACCACATATGCATTTGACTTAGCATATTATCTGCTCCTTTAATACAGATAAGCATCTAGAATCTATATTTTTCTATCTTTCTCCACTAGAGGGCAGTACAAGACACGAGTTTTCTCCCTTAGACCAAGCATGTGTGTTTGTGGCCCAGCGTTCATCTAGCTAGACTAAGAACTGTTGTGAAACCTATGGACTCTATGATTAGGTTTGGAAAACAGTGCAGATGTAACATCCCTCTGTCATGAAGGATGTCTCAAAAATAACAACTGTAATTTTTAGAAGTATACAAGTATTTGGAGCTGAGTTGCTCCCAAAGACCCTGTTCTCACAATACTTTTTGATTCATGGCAGATTGCCATATGCATGTCCTTCAGGTGTTGTCTCACAGGCACTGTTTTCCACATCTTGAAAAAGTAGAATAATATATTGGTTGTTTTGGGATTTTTGGGCTCTTTGGCCATGTTCTGAAGGTTGTTCTTCCTAAGGTTTTGCCAGTCTCTGTGGCCAGCATCTTCAGAGGACAGGAGTAGCACTCTGTGCTCTGGTGCACTTTGTTTGGGAGTTGAGTATTTATGACTGAGAGCAGCTTTTGTCATTTTCAGGAGATGGGTGATTATAGTGATCAGTGTGTTTTTGTTGTTGGTTGTATTATTGTGATAAGGAGGAGAGATTATCTATCACTGTGATTGATGGATGTCATTAGCTGGTCTTTTGTGTGTAGTGATCACCAGTCCTTGCGGCTGGGTAGAATTCGTTGACCTTTTGCACACTGTATTTTTCAGTCCTGTGAGCCCAGTTTTGTTGAGTTTCAAACTTTCCTCTTTTTTGTTGAAGTTCTACTGATGTTTGTGGATTTCAATGGCTTCCCTGTGCAGTCTAACGTAATGATTGCTGGTGTTGTCCAGTATTTCAGTATTTTGAAATAGAATTTCATGTCCAGTTTGTTTTAGGGCATGTTCAGCTACTGCCAATTTTTCTGGTTGTTTTAGTCTGCAGTGTCTCTCATCTTCTTTGATCTGGTGTGCATTAGATCCCGGCCATGAAACCCTTCATGAATAGAAGAATAATAAATTGTTGCAAACAAATTCACACTAAGGTCAAATTAAAATGAAATGTACAGTCATGTGTCTCAGGATGTAAGCAAGTAAGACCATATACTTGGCATGTATTTGTAAATGGGGATCCCTCAAGGAGTTAAAGTACTCTGTTCGTCACAGCATGTATTCCTCCTCACTACCATATTTTGCATTTAGTATGCTTTCTTTCTTGAAAGCCATTGCAAGGTAAATCTGAGCCTCCCTTGCACGTCTGATCGCTGGGGTGTGCATCCCTAAGGAAAGTCCATTTTTGGCGGTGGGAGGAAATTACTAATCTTAGAGAATGTATATTCCTTTAAATACTCAGTTTGCCTCTCACATTTTTGCTTTCCTCTCTTCCTCCTGCAAATTTTTGATTTAGTGGCCTTGTACAGCCTTTTATTTTTGAATTCCTCTGAAACAGTCTTTTATTGCCAGAAGCAGATATTATTTAAAATAATAATAATGGGGAAAAAAACAGCTCATGCCTAGAAGACCTTGAAGAGGAAAAGTGAAATATGAACCACACTGACAAAATTTGGAAGCAGACAGATTACTGAAGGTAAAGACAACAGAGGTAAGCACATATAATGGCTGAACATAATTGAGTATGTGAGAAGTGCGAACCATACAGCTACTGTAGCATAAAGGTGCCCATTTTCCATTCCACTTATAATTACAGCTACTTTTTGAGGCAGACTGCTTGTTAACCCTAGATGAATTGTTTATGTTTCTTGAGCGGGAGCTCATTTTGGGGAATATAATCATAATATTAATTATGTGCTATCAAATCATTCCAACTGTGGTGGGACTCGTTCCAGAGGTTCTTAGGTGTGGAACACTCAGAACTTGTTCATCACTCCCTTCTTGTAGGGATTCTCTGGGCTGAAGAACACACAAGCTGGCAGTTCTCCTGCAAGGTACAGGGAGGATTGAAACTCTGAATCCTGCTGACCCACTGAGTTATTTAGCCAGCGCTTGGAAAATTTGTTGTTTGCTGTTTAGTCGTTAAGCTTGGAAAATAGTAAGCAATATTTCTGTAAATCTGAATGAGAGAGGCATCAAAGCTTGAAAAAAAAGTGACATATACATAAGCTAAAGAAGGAGTATGATGGAAGGTGGGTATGAATGAAGAAACAGCCTATTGGGCAGTGGAATGGAGGAAACCGGTTGAAATAATTGAACCTGGATAGACTTTGACATGCAGAGCCTTGTTCTTAGAATGAGATGCAGAGTCCTGGATGTGTTGCCTCACAGAAGCACAGAAACCGTGCATTTCGATCTATATTCCACCCCTTGTTTTTATGCTATTTATTGTAAGCCGCCCAGAGTAGATGTCGTCTAAATGGGCGGGGTATAAATTGCATAAATAAAATAAATAAATATATTTGTAGGTATGGCAAATTAAAACTGCCGCACATCTCTGCAGTGCTTTCTTCTCCAAAGGCTTGGTTTCTGCTAGACGGTTCAGCAGTTTAGGTCTCTGGCTGAGGGGCCAGAGGTTGAAAGTTCATTCCCTACTGGGCTTTCCTTGACAAGGGCAGGCCTAAGTAATCCATACGGTCCCTTCCAGCTCTGCAATTCTAAGATGATGATGATATTCACACCAGAACTTCTCCCTGCTAAAGGTGGAAGCACGCAACAGTCTTCTAGAACCTTCTGTGAGATGAATTTCCATCAAATAGGGATAAATTGTAGTGATTTTTCTACTGTAAACACTAAGGCCTGGCACATTATAGAAAAATACATGCAGGCAAGCTAGGGACACCAGTTGCCGAATGGAGAAAAGTGTGGCCCACACTTTACTCCCAAGGCAGATTGGACTCGTTCATCATGGTGACGGGAACAGAAGCTAATAAGAGATTAGCATTGAAGTCAAAACATATCAAGGCAAGATGGCTTTTCAGACAAACAGAGTGTAGAATTACAGTAACAAATTCCTGCTTGTTTTGTCACCTTCCTACCACTACTACCAGCAGCAAAGTTATTGCAAAATTTATCAGAAAGTGCATGGTGTTTCCAGCAGAGGTCTCTAGTAACAAGTATATATCTTCCAGTGGTTTCCAGCTTGAGTGTGTAGAATGAAAGCCAAAGATTAATAGAAATGATCTATGAAATCATCATCCTTGTTACTGATGACCATATCAAAATGGTTGAACAGTCGTTCCATTACAAGCAAATCCAGGAAACTTAATATCTTTTAATGGCTCTTTAATTGAATTGGGTTCTTCCCATAATCTTCCAGGTAATAGGAGAAATCATGGGGACAAACGGAAGGAGGCTGAAAAATCCATATGTTCATGGAATCAATGACCAAATCAAAAGGGTGATTGTGACAGTGGTGATTCTACCATCTACCATTGCAATTGCCAGTCACAAAAGATACTGGCTGTGATCCTTCAATATGCTTCGATTACAGAGTAGAATTCAAGCAAGTGTAGAATTCAAGCAAGCCCTAATGCCACAGTCCAGCCAATAAAGCACATTTAACTCTCATACTCCAATAGTAACTGAGCTATTTTGAAAAGACTTTACAGTATGAGCTGGAGGTAAGAAGGTATTGAACAAGTTATGAGGACTTGGCAGTAGTGGGCCAAAAACAGAACAGAACAGAACAAAAGAACAAAAACACTTTTCTAGACTTGATTTGTGTCCATATCGGCTGGAGAAGTTCTAGACTTGTCACCTCAAACTTGAGACTGATCTCTATTCCTCCATCTAATTTCAATATATAGAACTCGCAAAGTGACTTGAAGTTTTCTTAAGCAACCTTCTGCATAGACAGTTTCTCCCTACACCCTTGATTCTTTGGAAAGAAAGGAAATGCTTCCATTTCTTCACAATCTAACCTTTACTTTTGGTCATCAGTCCCCTGCTCCCATGACCTATTATCCGGTAGCTCTTCCCCCTTGACAATTCACTAATAGCTTCATTCCCTTCCTCTCTCATTGGCTCATCTTTCTTCCTAGGGACCAGCATGTCAGCACCAATGTGCATATCGTCTTTGTCTTCCTGCAAGATCTGGTTTTTTCACATCACCATTAACTTCCCAACATACCTGTAGAGTAAAGTAAATGAACATTTAGTTGTCATTTGTTCTAGATTTAGAATCTAAGTGGAAATCCATTACATCCCAGTATAGATTTTTATAGTTTAGTTTCATTTATGTTATAAATGAATGCCTAACTGTACTTGGCATTGCATATATTGCCTAGTGAATAGACCATCTGCAATAAATGCCTCAAAGTTGAAAGCCATAGTTACTGGGATAGATTAAAGCCGAAATGTATCGTTTGTGTCAAGTATGGCTGCTTTTTACCTGCCTGTATGTCTAATGTCAAGACAGCTGTTCCTGCCTTCTGTGATAAGTTGCTCCTCCCCTTCTAGATCCTCATATCTTGAGAATTCAGATTTTTTTAAATTGTATTGAAGAAAGAGATAGAAAAGATTACTTTGGGGGGATTGTTGCTTCCAGTTAAACCCAGGCAACAAGGCCAGTGGTCATAATGACAAGGATATTCTTAGAACTGTAGTCTAAAAACCATCTTTTGCCACCTTGAAGACCAAGAAGTTTTATTTGGCATAGGCCTCTGTCGAACACACCACACTTAATCAGTGTGTAGTTAAAAAAAAACTTTCCCCATCTCTGATTTAATGATAGATTAAAAAATCCTGAGGCCCAAACATGTTATGTTTCAGAGTTCTCATAAATTACCAAAAAAAAGAGTGTGTGATGCTAACTAATATGTAAAATGCGAAATGTGGTTAAAATATTTAGTGGCCACTCGTCTGTGTAAACCAGAGTTTACTTAACTTAGTAAATCTGTCACTGTATTTCAATACCCTGATAAACGAGACTTTCCCACTCAATCCTATTTACTCTAATTATGAAAACACTTTGTTGAATATTATTGTAGTCTTCTGCCACCAATGCTCAATTTCTGCTTCTGCCTTCCCAGTGTAGCATCACAGACATAGTTGGGTCTCCCCTATTTCCAGCTAGCGCCACTCCTTGTGGGCTGATATTCAACACTGCACAAGCCCCAGTGGAAGCACAGGGCCTTGAAAAATATGTGCTTTAAACAGGGCAGCACAGGAAGTGAAAATGGGAGCAAAAATTGAACAAGTGTGTGT